AAACAATTATCTCAGTCTCTGTCATACTCTCAACTCTTTCTATAAAATCAGCTTTAATCCATGAAGAAAATTTTTGTGTTCATGGAAAAATTGTCTCACAGCACGTGAACCAGTTTATCTGCAGAGTTTGGAAAGGGCCTGACCTGTTCTGTGCAGCCTGGTGATGTGTGCCTGCATTTGGTACTGCACTGAAATGTATAACTGCTGCTGCACTCCAGTTATCAGGAAAAGGAGTGTGTAAATGTGTTCTGATATCAGATACTGTATCAGAGCAGATTCCTGGCATTTGATTAGTCACCTTGGTGACTAGCAGGAATGCTATTTTTACATACATAAAAATATCAACATACAAAACTGATAACATGGGAGTTAAACACCCCTGAAACATAAAAAATGTGCAGAATGAAGTTCAAGAGTAAAAGCGGAAATGTTTTTATGTGTATTTAAGTAGTGTATAGTATAAAGGAAACTGGCAGACAGGCAGACTTGACACAATGTGAGTTGTCTGCTGAGAGCTCAGCTCTTCTTTAGCTTTAGAAATGTTACAAAACATCTTCACTAGCTGCAAAGAGTTACAGGAAGGAAAGGCACCCAGGGGAAAATAATGGGACTCTGGGAGATTCTGCTGAGAGGAAGGTTCAAAACCTCTGTGAAACCCATGTTTTTATTTAAGGCTTTGGTTAGTCTGTTTTCTCTTGGAAATATTTGCTGAGATTGACTATAATGCTCATTTGTAGTCACTGTTTTGTCAAGAGAAAACAGTATTTATAATCAAAAAATGAGAAAATTGTGTGTTCTGCAAGGTGGCTCTGGGTTACCAGTTTGATTTCCACAGCTTTGATTCTTGTGTCTATTTATACCAAAGCAAAATTGGCTTGAGCACAAATGTGATACAGTATCTGCCCACTTTGACTTGTGGTGGAATTTAGCGGTTTTTTTTCACCGACTTGACATACAGGTGACAATGACAATTACAGTTAAAATCCTTGATGTGACCAAACACCAGTGTTGCAAACCTTTAATTATTGTATTAACTTGTCATGAGTGCTTCGATGAGTTCATCTGCTGTGACTGTGCTTTAACCCCATGTCTCTTGCACAGGTTAAGTTCCCTTCTGCAGTTCTTGTCAGAGAGATTCTTCAGTCTTTTAGCATGGTGCTGGTCCTGAATAACTTTTCATACCGGGCCAAGGGTTCTGGTTCCTCTCTGGGTAAATAATGATGACATACAGGCAGAAGCGTGAAAGGCCTTTTTGTGAACACTGATTGAACAAACTGCAAAAAACCCCAGCAGTGTAAAATTCAGAAATGGAACAAGGTATCTGCATGAACATGTGTGAGCTGACTATGGAAGAGATGGTAGGTAGCTGGTACATTTCGAGATGCATGAACAGAAATACATTGCTTTTAGATTTTGCCTGTCATGCAAAATGACTGAATCAGTAAACTGAAACCAGCCCCAGACAAGACTTTGGTGAATTGGTTAGTAAAAATAAATTATGCAAGGTTCCAGATGGTTTAACAGAGGTATTCAGGAGTATGAGTTTTATTTTAACTATCTGCAAATTTTTCTTTTGAGCAAACTGTTTATTTGAATGTGTTTTAAAGCTTCATAAAGAAAGGTGGTAAAAAAATTAAACATACTACAACTAAAAGGTGGTTTTAATAGTTGTGTAATAGACTGAACCACTACAGTCAATTCTGATGAAAGCTGGTGGTGTATTTGATTTTATCCATGCAGCAAATTTTTTTCTAGGAATTATGTTCAAAGTAAAGTTGCCACTGTTTTAGCTAATTGTGATATCATTGTTCAGCCAACAAGTGCCTTACTCTATTCAGTAGGTAATGGATTAATGCCTACCAATCGAAGTGTCTCTTTTAACTTGGAGTCTGGATGGTATCAGCTGGCAAACACTCTTGCTGCTTTATTGAGAAACATTCATGATCCCTGGTCTTATCTTGGGTCACAGATGCTGATTTTCTCCCAGGCTTACGTCCCTGTTCACAATATTTGTTGAATGGCTGCTTTCTTGGATTCCTTCTGTGGGTGCAACAGTGTGGTTAGAGAGCAAGCAAATGGGTTTCGTTTTCTCACAGTGGACTTGTGAGACTTTTTAGGGAGTCATAGAAACAATGATAACTAATTAGTATAAACAACCTGCAGGTGGTGTTTTTCTACTCTTGTTTTGTTGTTCTTCTCAAGGAGTGTTTATGAGAATGATGTTTTTGTTAGCTAGCCAATCAAGTAGAATGTGTCAAATCTGTCTATAAAAGAGAGGATTTTTCGTATTAAATGCACTCCTCCTGCCTTCAAGTGAATTTGTGTCATTTCTGGCTCAACGGTGACATCCAGACTGCCCTATATTGTGTCATACTCTTTGTGGCTTCATTACAGCTGTCTTATCATAGGGAATATTCCCTGTTAATTTTTATAATTTTTTGGAGGAAGCCACAATGTGAGGTATCCTTGATAACCACTCTAGTGTAAAGATGATTGGCCTGTAAAGGTTTTTAACTGTGCCAGTTTGCCCCTGTTACTAGTTTGGAGATACAAACTTCTGTCATCCTTCAGTGGATTACACTAATTACTCTCCTTGATGAGTAAAAAATTTTGGTAGGGTAGAGCACTGCAAGAGATGTTGATATGAACAAAAGTTGGCAGTGAGGGTTCTGCTTCCTCTTGTGTGCAAAGAGGAGATACAGTTGATGGATTTCTAGAACATCTGTGTAACATCAGAAGCAGAAGCACTTGAAATTAGAAATGCAGAATTAATTGAAGAGTCTTGCCAAGGGAAATATTATATACTACAAATAAGTTTATTTCCTCCTAAAGCAGCTGGTTATGTAAATATTACAGGAGTAAATGTATTTTTAGTCTGAACTGTTAAAAGTTTCCTTTCATTGTGCTCTTAATACCCACATTGTAAGGAGGTTTCATTAATTCTTAGAATTGTATATCTTGTTTAAAAAATACCTGTTTTTTGCTTCCTGAGGTAGGTAATTATTGAGGAATTAGCATCTCATGTGAGATTCCCCATCCTGAAGATTACATATGTTTGAAATTCTATTTTGAGGCTGCTGACCAAGTATGCAGAGGACTTTTGCTGGTTCTTCAGCTTGAAGATGGATTCCATGCACAAAAGGTGGGTTATATTTGCTTCATTATTTTTAATAATTTTCTCTTTGATATATGTATATCTTGGACTTCATCAAATCTCAGGTGCTGGTGTTTCTTTGATGTTGGAAGATACTCTTGCATTTTGAAGTTTCAGTGAAAACACTCATTTGAATTTCAGCAGAGAGGAAAGGGAGAAAAATAATTTGGTATGGGAGTTTTAATTCTCAGCCAACTCTAATTTAATACCTTTCTGAAACAGCATTGGAGGGGTAACCCTTGATCCTTATTATTGCTTTTCTAGATATATTTGCTTTTCTCTTTGACTGTGGCACCCTGCAGGGCTATAGAGTGTGGCTTGTCCCTTGTTGCAGTATCTAGCATAGCACGTGCAGTGGATTAAAACTCATCTGGCACTGGAACACGTACAGAGAATATATTTCTGGTTTTTCCTCCCTTCAGAACATTTCTTGCTTTATTACTGACATCCCTTTTGGCCAGGAGGAAGTTCCTCCAGGTAGTTCTAGATAAAAGTATGTTTGATTCAAGACTTAGATTGTTCATCAGCCCGGACTCTGAAGCCCAGAGCAAACTGCACTTTGACGGAGCTGGGTCAGATTTCCTTGTCTTGTTTTGTCTTGCAGTTGATACTCTACTTTGACCAACCATCCCAGTTTCACTTCTTTTGTGTCCTCAGATACTCTAGCACAACTTTCTGAAGGCATAATTTGACCTCTCTTTGGCATTCAATAGAGGTAGAAATACTTTAGTGATTTATTCTTTTAATGCTTTTGGTGGTGTTTATTGCATGTATTTTTGCTTTACTTAATTAAGAAAAAAATTGATTAAGTCTGATAGGAAACTTGGATGGGAAGGGTTGAGTTTTGACTAACCATCAGTTAGTCAAATTATTAGGGAATAGCACATGTTATAACCTATAACCTAGAACTGAAAAAAAGGGTTTTTTTGTTTTTATTTAATGAAAGATTACACAGGGACAGATTTTTAAAACTTTGGGTGTTTAGATCTTTTTAACAGAAAAAATCAGAACAGAAAATAAAACCGGGGATGTTTGTCTCCTCAAACTGTTTATGAGTTGTTTATACTTCATGCAGTTGCTGTTCCCAGGGCTTTTTCCCCTTCTCCACCATGTTATCCCAGAGGCACTACTAAAGTTGTGGATGGGCTTGGCCTTGGATCCAGGTGCTACAGGCTCTGTGGAGCACAGAGGAAGCCTTTGGCAACTTCCCACAGAAACCAGACCTGTATTGCCCTGCTACCAAAACCTTGCCATGCAAACCCAATACAATGGACTGTATAATTCCTCAGAATTCTTGGCTTATTGGAAAAATGGACTCATGTCTTTGTGCTATAGCAAGGACAAAGCTGATAATCTGACTCTGGGAGGGTGCATGGCAATATCCAGGTCTTTGGGGTGTGAAGAATATCCTTTGAATGAAGAGATTGTTTTTGCACCACTTCCTGTGAGGGTGGTTTTACTGGAGTTTTGTTCCCAAATTTGTGTGAACCTGGGATATACAGAAACAGCAGATGGATGTTCTCCTTTATTTTGATGTTTGCTCTCCTTTATTTTTCTTCTCATAAACGTATTGGTGTTGGTTTGTACCAGGTCTCTATTTTTTCATGATTGTTAAGAAATTTGTATTTTTTAACATCTATGTATTTGTAACATACCAGTAGCATCCCGCCCACTATAAGAGCATTAAATTATATTTGACTGAGTCAATATTAGAGTTAAAGAATGGGAGCGAGGATGATTGGTAAGAACTGAAAACAAGAGTATGTAAAAATATTTTTTATTACATAGATTTTATATTGAAGTTTATTTTCACAATAAAAAAGCAACTTCAACCATTCAACAGCTTCATTAAATTTAATGTATTTTTTTCCATAGGGCTGGACTCATCAGTGGGACATATTGATCAGAAAACAAAGATATGCTTCTGTGTTTCTGTAAAAAACCAAGATAAAGCTGGATAGCATAATGATATACCTCACAAATATCTATGTCTTAACTTGTGCCTTTACATTCACACTATGGAATAGTATTCAGCCAACTGTAGAAGATGAATTTATTGCAAATTATTCAAGCAGTTTGCTAACTAATGTTCCAAAAACCATTCCAGTCTGTACTGAAGTATTAGATTTATCACATAATAGGATCTCTGGACTTAGTATCTCAGAATTTATTCATCTTTCTGACCTTCAAGTATTAAATCTTTCTCATAATCTAATAACAGTGCTTGACTTTAGTGTCTTCATTTTTAATGAAAATTTAGAATACTTAGATTTATCTCATAATAACATTTCAAAAGTTTCCTGTCTAACTCTTGCATCTCTTAGACATTTAGATCTGTCTTTCAATAAGTTTACTGCCCTGCCCATCTGTCAGGAATTTGGGAACATGTTTCATTTGGAGTACCTTGGATTAAGTGCTACGATGATACGAACGTCAGACTTCAGGTATATCAAACATTTGCAGCTGCACACTGTCTTCCTGAACTTGGGAAACTTTTCACTGTATGAGCCTCAGAGTCTGACAGTCTTGAATACAAGGAACCTCCACATTGCTTTTGCAGCAAATCAAAATTTCATTTTTTCCCTCCTGTATGATGGAATGAGCACTTCAGAAAACTTAAAAATAGTTAACTTAAGATATACCTTGAGTTACAAAGATTTCCCCTCTCCATCTTTAATGCTTCTGAAGAAAATCAAGACAACAACTCTCACACTTGATGCTGTGGATTTACAATGGGCTATCATCCTGCAAATTTTCATGCTTATTTGGTATTCACCTGTGGAACATTTGACTGTGAGAAATTTGACTTTTAGAGGACCACTGGAGGAGCCGACTGAATTTGCATTTCCACCCTTATTAAGCTCTGTGGAACAATTAATCTCTTTGGATGGCTCCATGAAAGCATTAACTTTGGAGCATGTTCGTAATAAGGTTTATTATTTCAACCAGGAGATTCTATACAGACAGTTTTCAGAGATGAATATCGCCAATTTGACAATAGCCGATGCATATATGCCACACATGCTTTGCCCCAATAGAACAAGCTCATTTCAGTACTTAAATTTTTCTCAAAATGCCTTGACAGATGAGTTGTTCCAGAATTGCGGCACTCTCGTGGATCTTAAATTACTTATTTTGCAGAAGAATAAATTTGAGAGCCTTCGCAAAGTAAGCTTCATGACGAGCCGTATGAAATCCCTGACGTACCTGGACATGAGCAACAACCTGCTGCGCCACGATGGAGCTGGCGTGCAGTGCCAGTGGGCCGAGTCTCTGGCAGAGCTGGACCTGTCCTCCAATCAGTTGGTGGATGCTGTGTTTGAGTGCTTGCCGGCCAACGTCCAAAAACTCAGCCTACGAAACAATCACATCAGCAATGTCCCCAGCGGGGTGACGGAGCTGAAATCCTTGGAGGAGCTGAACCTGGCATCGAACAGGCTGGCTGACCTGCCGGGCTGCGGCGGCTTCACGTCCCTGCAGTTCCTGAACGTGGAGATGAATTCGATCCTCACCCCGTCTGCTGATTTCTTCCAGAGCTGCCCGAGGGTCAGGGAGCTGCAGGCCGGGCACAACCCGTTCCAGTGCTCCTGTGAGCTGCAGGCCTTTATCCAGCTGGAGAGGCGCTCCGGGGGAAAGCTGTTTGGCTGGCCGGCGGCCTACGTGTGCGAGTACCCAGAGGGCTTGCGAGGGACGGAGCTCAAGGACTTCCACCTGAGCCCGCTGGCTTGCAACACGACGCTGCTGCTGGTGACAGCTCTGCTGCTGACGCTGCTGCTGGTGGCTGCGGTGGCCTCTCTGTGCATCTACCTGGATGTGCCGTGGTACGTGCGGATGACGTGGCAGTGGACGCAGACGAAGCGCAGAGCTTGGCACAACCCCCCCGCAGATCAGGAGGCCATTCTGCAGTTCCACGCGTTCATTTCCTACAGCGAGCGCGATTCGCTGTGGGTGAAGAACGAGCTGATCCCGAACCTGGAGAGGGGGGAGGGCAGCGTGCAGCTGTGCCAGCACGAGAGAAACTTTATCCCCGGCAAGAGCATTGTGGAGAACATCATTAACTGCATTGAGAAGAGCTACAGGTCCATCTTTGTGTTGTCTCCCAACTTTGTGCAGAGTGAGTGGTGCCACTATGAGCTGTACTTTGCCCATCACAAGTTGTTCAGTGAGAATTCCAACAGCTTAATCCTCATTTTGCTGGAGCCCATCCCTCCGTACCTTATCCCTGCCAGGTATCACAAGCTGAAAGCTCTCATGGCAAAGCGCACCTACATGGAGTGGCCGAAGGAGAGGAGCAAGCGTGCCCTATTCTGGGCCAACCTCAGGGCAGCCATTAGCATTAACCTGCCAATATCCAGTGAAGCAAATGAGTAAGAGTGATGTTACACCTACTAGTAATGTAAGAGTGTGAATAACTGACTTGACTTATTTTCATTAAACTCAGTTAATATTTTTTCTGTTTTCTTACAATATTCCCAGTTGCGAAATGTGGCAAATATAGAAGTTGCTATTGCTTTTTCAAGCCATCCAGGTAGTCAGAAGTCCTCTGTTGTTGCCCATCATCAACAAAGAGAGTGCTAGAGAAATTTTCATAATGATTGACCTTATGTTCAGGTTGCATTTATTTTTTACGTTTCCCATTGAAAACTATATTTGAAAGTAATAAGAGTAGTGGTTTGTTTAGTTTAATCAGGCTGGCAAGGCATACATTTAATCTTTGTTCTGATGTCAATGTTGTGAGATTAAGATTTTCAGGATCTGCTTTCTTGGTTTTGATTAAATAACACAAAGAAGAAAACTTTTCTACTGTAGTCTTAACACCTACTATAAGTGTTTGAATCCCATCCAGTATGTTGGTACAGTAGGTGTTAAGAGTACAGTATCCACACCGTTTTAGCCTGTTTTCCCTTCCTGGAAATCTTTCCTTTCATCACAGAGAGACTTTCTTGGGTATGTGCTGAAAAGTTGAATCCATTAATTCTTGTTTGATGTTCTTCTTCCTTTGTGGTATTAAACATTACCAATTGCCTAGAGGTAGATACCTGCCAAGTCATGAGTTCATAAAATTTGCTATTCACTGTCTTCAAATTCACAGTTAATACCTGTAGTTATTATTTTTTATGGTACTGTAAATTGCTGCTTTGTGCTATCAAGCTATATATACTGGATTGCATGTTTTTTCTCTTTCCTAGTACTTAGAAACTTGATGTTTGGAGGTGAAGCACTTTTATCTCCAAGCTTCCCCTGAACTCTGTTACCTTGTTCATTTAATGAGCAGGTGCTGAGGGTCATCACACAGATGAAAAAAAGAGTAATTTTCCCTAGGAAATAACTTCTCTGCTAAAATCTTGCTGATTAAACTAATGGTGTTTTTTAGTAGGAGACATCTAGTAACTTGCTGTGCTTGGATTCGAGAGTCTAATAAACATCTAATTCTTTATGTGTTTTTAAATTTCATGTGTCATTTCAACAGTGATGTGGAGTTGTGCCATTGTACTTACAGCTTAGTGGAAATGCAAAGTCCTGAGTTCACAACTGTGGGCAGCACAGGAGGTGATCAAACTGGTAAGAGTTCCTTAGCACTCACTGAGGTGGCTCACCAAGCACACATCAGGTGTGGTAGCTAGATGAAACAGTGAAATTGAAGCTGTGGGAGAGCTTCCTGGTGTCCTGCTGGCACCCACCTACCAGTTCAGGTTAACCGGGTAGGATGGCAGTGGGATGCCAGATGCCTGGCTCCTGAGCTTTGGAAAGAAGAGCTCAAAATCCCTAATAAATCTTAATTATCACTCAGTTATTTCCACACTGATTAAATTTGTATCTCTCTAATTTAGAGGAGGATGTTGGGGGGGACCATGTCAAAGCCTTACCCAGAAATCAAGATTTAGTAGGGATTAGGGATGCTGGTGGGTGAGAGGCTGGACATGACCCAGCCATGGGCACTCCCAGCCCAGAGAGCCAAAGGTGCCCTGGGCTGCATCCAGAGCCCCGTGGGCAGCAGGGGAGGGAGGGGATTCTGCCCCTCTGCTCTGCTCTGCTCTGGTGAGACCCCACCTGCAGGGCTGCAGCCAGCTCTGGAGCACAGCACAGGAAGAACTTGGACCTGTTGGAGTGAGTCCAGAGGAGGCCCCAAAGATGATCAAAAGGGCAGAGCACCTCTTCTGTTGGGACAGACTGAGAGAGCTGGAGTTGTTCAGCCTGGAGAAGAGAAGGGTCCGTGGAGATCTCGTTGAGGCTTTTCAGTTGTTAAATAGAGCTTATAGGAAAGATGGGAATAGACTTTTCAGCAGGATCTGTTGTGGTAAGGCAAGGGGTACTGGTTATAAACTAAAAGAGGGCTGATTTAGGTTGGATATAAGCAATAATTTTTTATAATGAGGGTGGTGAAACACTGGAAGAGATGGCCCAAAGAAGCTGTGGATGTTGCATCCCTGGAAACATTGAAGGTCAGATTGGGAAGGGCTCTGAGTGATCTGATCTGGTTGAAGATGTCCCTGCTCATTGCAGGGAGTTGGACTAGATGACCTTTAGAAGTCCCTTCCAACCCAAACTATTTTGTGATTCTATGATTTTACGACTTTACAATTTTACCTCTCTAGAACTTCTTGACACTTTCAAGTGGGGAATGCTATCAAGAAATCCTGTGACCCTTCTTCCTGAAAGCCTTCTGCCCCTCCCAGGCATTACAGCCTAGCGTGAGTAGCAGTCACACTTAGTGCTAGTGGGCTAAAAGACACATGGTCTATCCTGTTTACTGGACAAGAAAAGAGGAAGTAAAATGTCGTAATTCAGGCTTTCTGGTCTCTGTAAATTTAATGCATCAGCAAACTGGGGGTTTATGTCCTGAATAATGTACAGACTGGGCTGTGAAGGAGTCCCTTACTGTTCTGAAATGTAAATTTTAGGTGGGTGTGAAAGAAATAGTTTCTCAAGTCTGCCATGTATATTGTTTTGGAATATTAATGCTATAAGAGCTCTTTATACTCTGTCCTTTCCACCTCACAGATCTTTCATGCAGATGCCAAATATTTTGGTTATGTATATACCATACACTACAGCTTAAAATACACTACTGAGTTCCTTAGATAAAGCACACTCATTTTGCCATGGTTTGGTCTGTTGGTTGGTTTTCTTTTCTAATCAGCATTTGACAGTATTTCTCATCAAGCAACATTGTGTTGGCTTAGTTAGTGTTCAGCCAGGCCAGAGTTTTAATTGTAAAGGATGCATTTAAAGCATTTTTATCACTAAAAATCGCAGTAAAGACACAGAGATCAGTTTTAAATTCTTGAGCAGATTTCTGTGTATGACAGGATTGAGCTCAGTGATATCAAATAAGACAGAGGGAACAGCTTGATTTCTCAAGTACGAGAAAATGAATATTGTCTTAAATTACAATCTCATGAACTTCAATTGTGCCTTTTTCTCAGCCTAAGGGGGACACCCAGTGGCCGATGAAATTATCACTGCTTCCTGAAAGTTATCACTCAGTCAGACTAGAACGTGTGCAATGCTTTTTGACTCACTGGAAAACAGAGATGAATCTCATCAGCCAGCAGCTGGAGCAGCCCCTTCCAGCTCGGGAGGGCGGTCAGTCACTCTGCCCGTGACAGCTGCCACGCTAGTCAGTGGCCGTGACTGCCCCTGCCATTGGTCCCTCTGCCTGAATCCTAGAAATCAACAGCACGATAATGAGCTGTGTCTGGCTTTGCAATGTGCAGGAGGCCAAGAAACACAAGCCAGTAATTTACTCATTTTCTGATTGCTGTTTGCAGGCTTTTATTTTTGTGCCTCATTTCTTCTGTTCCTGCTTTCCCTTCTGTACATCACCATGGCATAGCACAGGTGCTCACCAGGCTGATCTACAGGATCCCAGGCAGAGAGAGACCAACATCCTGATGCAAATACTCCGGCAGAAACGGGAAGTGTTAGAGAGATGCATTGTGAGTTCAGCCAGGCTCCCTCTTCTTAGGCATCTGATAAGGTGTGAAGAAATAAAACTCTATTCTTCATCATCATCATCATCGTCATCATCACTGTTATCTCAGCACAGCCTGCAGGTGTGTCTGGAGGTGTGCAGGACTCGTGGTGATGTGTCAGCAGCCTCTGGCACCCTGCTCTGGGAGAGGCTGTGGGGAGCAGGCCCAGTCAGTCATCCTGTGGGTGATTAAAAAAGGCAAACTCACGTGTTTGGTGTTCCACACCTGCCTATGGGCTAATTAGAATGCCCTAATTAGAATGACCTAATTAGAGGTGAGTAAAACATTTTTATGAGCTTGCCACTGAGTGTGCTGCAGGACACAGCTCCTCCAGCACAAGTTCCTTGTGCTGTGCCCTGGGCCCTGCGTGGGGCAGGCACACAGGGGAGGTGGCAGAAGGGCCACCCAAACACCCAGAGCCACTGGGGTCCCCCCCAGGCCTGCCTCTGACCCCAGCACAGCATCACTGCTCTTTGTCATCCAGCATGTGACAACATGACCACAAACAACATTCTGAGTGTTTTATTAACAAGTATAGTACATATGCACTGTGCACTAAATATACTAAATATACTAAATATACTAAATATAGTATGAGGACTGTACAGTACAAATTTTTTATGTTCACAGTTTGACATGACAAAATGTCATTACTGACTTCCCATTGGACTACCAAAGTAGAAACAGTGAAAGTACATTAAACATTCACATCTTTAGTAAGAAAAGATTACCAAAATGTCTCCATATTTGCAAGTTATAGTAATGCATGCTAGAAACCTTTAATTAGCCATTTTGTCTTATTAGCTTATAAAATATATTACATTTTATTTTAAAAATTCTGCATAGTTTATAGAAGTATCAAAGTAAATAAAAATCCTTGCTCTATTTGCAGGTGAGAGGTGCTAAGCAAAAAGATTATTTTGACCCTCTAAAGTACATTAAGTGCTAATATCTGTAAAATATAATGAAAAATGGTCTAGCCCTCTTAAGAGATGTAAAATGCTTTGTAAATTTTTAGGAAGGATTCGTATTCATCATGTTGCTAACCTTGGCAGAGACAATATATTTGAACAAGATGTGGCATTAGAAGTATCACTGCAGAATGCCATGTGTACATTTAAATAAACCCCACACATTCATACCTGCTTCGTTTCTTGCAATTGTACTACAAACTAGTAATTTATTATAATCAAATAGCTTAAAACAGACACATTTTAGTAAAACAGTATTACCTGTTACACACTGCACAGTGCAATACTGTTACAGAGAAAGTGGGGGGGGGGTTAAATATACTCATTCTCCAGGATTAGGATTTTGTCTAAACTGGCTTTTCTTTAGGGCATAGATGGAATGACTGGTTTTGCAAAGTACTTAACTGAGTACATTTCAAAGTTGCAAGGTATCCTTCAAATCAAAATTTACTAAAATTACACAATGAGCTGGTTAAGATGGAATTCACATTCAGCTAGAAGTGTATTTGTTTGTGACCTTTTAGACATCCCACAAACACACTACAGACACAACCAAAAAATCCTATAAGGAAAGCATTATCATGAAATAATCTCAAATACTTATATTTAATCTTGAAATTTCAGTTGTCCTAATTCACAAGACACATGGATGAAATTTGAAAGTTCTGTTCAATCTCCACTGTATTAGACCCCATCATTAGTACCTTTCAGGAAAAAGGTACATAAGCTAATGAATTAACACGGCAAATAACCCATACTAAATCATCTGAAGTAACTCTTAGTTACAAAAAAAGTTCTGCTTTCAAGGTACTGATTTAAAAAATATTAAAAAACATACTAATGAAAACATTTTATGTTAACCTCAAAAGAGAAACAGAGCATTAGAAAGAAATGTTCCTTAAACATCCTGAATTTTATAAATTTGCATTTTTAAGGTAGAAATGGGACCAGTTGCCATTAAGGTGCTGATTTTCTAGTATCTGTTTTGCCCCTCATCAACAGAACAGAGAATTGTTTTCATCCCAGGGTACTAAATGTCTGTAGACTTGTGACTGATGCCACAGGGCTCCCTCCACACAACCTCCCAGCCAGTGACGGGCCTGGATTCACAAAATTGCGAGTAAAACCAAGAGCAAATTCTGCTACCAAAAAAATGAAAAGTAGGAAGTCCACATTCTGGAACAGCTGCTCATTAATATCAGTCTCTTTCCTACAAGTTTCTCAATGTCACTAACAATCTGCCCTACCAAGAAAGAAAAAAGGCCGATTGATGTGCTGGGTGTTTCAGCGCCACATGTGAGCAGCTGAGGGAGAGCTGTAGGACACGAGATGCAGCCCTGCCGAGGTGGGGAGGATGTGTGGAGCTGGAACACAGCAATTGCTGTCAGAGCATTTTTCTACAGGAAGTACAAACCTCTCCTTCTCTAATTCCACAGGCACAGGGATGTCAGCAGAACAGCTGGTGAAGTCCTATCACCAAATAAAGGCTCCTTGCACTCACACTCTTGCATCTCCAAGACTGTTTGGCATTGGGCTCCATTGGTTTTAGAAGCACAGCCTACCTGCTCCACAAGCTCAAAATTATCCACCTGCAGATGGACACTCCACCTGTCTCCTGCAGGGTTCTACCAAACTCTTCCTCCCCCCACACCTCCATTGTTCACTGGGTTTTTCCAAAAGAAAGGAAAAGCTGACTTCGGTATGTTTAACGTACAGGGAATGGTGGTTACCTTACATAAGGCAAGGAAGGGGAATGTGCTTGTGTGTGTGTGTAGATTGATAGATCCTGTTTCCTTGCAGTGCCACAAAGTCTGCCAGCCAGAAACCTTCCTTTCAGAGGATCCAAGACAGGAACATTTCTAGGGGCAACTGCAGGTTGCTTGAATTCAGTTTCTTTTAGCTATGTAGTTCTGTTTGCTAATGGGCATGGTTTTAATGCAATAGACACATCCACAGGGAAGCAGTTGTACCTTCCATGGAGAGACTACCAGAGTCACAAACCAGAACTGGATTATTTGGTATGTGCTTTTATCCAAAACAGATAGATGACTCAATTTATCATCAGAAGTACTTCATATCTGATGCCATCTTCTCATAAAAATATTGTGGATCAATAATTTTAAATACTGTAGTGTATTACAGTGGTACTTACACAGTACAGTTCAGAGCATCTTTGACTTAATGACTGCTATTTTCTGAAGTACAGCAAGGACAAAAAAATTATTTAGAAGAAATGCAGGGGCATGATTGCAGGGGGATAATCTATATCCCTGAAATGAGGTGCAGTAGGTTTCCATGAATGTCATTTAATGCCAAATCACAGGTGAGTACCATAGACTCACAGAATCATAGAATATGCTGAGTTGGAAGGGACCAACAGGATCATCGAGTCCAACTCCTGGCCCTGCACAGGACACCCCAAAAGTCACACCATGTGCCTGAGAGCATTGTCCAGATGCTTAACTCAGACAGGCTTGGTGCTGTGACCACTTCCCTGGGAAGCCTGTACCAGCCCAACCACCCTCTGGGTGAAGAACTTCCTGATGGTAAGCCCCTGACTCAGCTTCAAGCCGTTCCATCCATACACTTGCACAGAAACCTGACATACAGAGTCATACAAAGTCTTCCTTTAACAAATCCACTGGGGCATTATGCAAGAAAAACAAGGATATATACTACACTATTATACAGATGACAGATGGCATTGGTTTAGATGCACAGTATTGTGTACGGACCAATTCCTGCCCATTTTTCTTCTTGACTGGGGTAAATGATACTATGACTCAATCTTTCTGTAAAGTAATTACACTGTTTAGATTTATTTCCTCAGTATTACTCACTGTTTGGGCAGAGGGGATTTCTAAATCAGGTGTCTTCCTAAAACTGTTGTATGAACCACACTGCAGAAATCAACACAGCTGGTAAAGTCCATTCATTGCATTGTTGAGCATAAAATGAGAGTGTATCCCTTACGGGGCACATAAATAATAGTCTCTGGCAAGGACTAGCATTTCGGATATTCAATAACATTTACTATTTTATCAGTATATGCTGGGTCGATTATATGAAGAAACCAACAAAAGCTGTTAGTTTAAAAATTCCCTTATTCACAAATGAAATACAATAAACATACTGAATGCAGAAAGGGTTTGCTTAGCATCCCCCAGAAGAAAAAAAAGAAGTGTTCACATTCTTTAGGTCTGACCCGTGGCAAGGACATAGAAGGGTTAGATAACATCTGTTACTGACCATATGTAAGCTTTTAATGGTATAAACTCAGAGATCCAGACCAGCTGAATCCAAATTAAAATGCATGTGTAAAAAACAAAAAAGTGTGGCAGGAGTCAGGGAGAGAAGACATTCAGACTAGCATGTGGCGTTTCCTGTGAAGAGCGAGATGGTCCGAGCGAGAAAAGCTGCGGTCACAGTCTGGACACTGGAAGGGTTTGATTCCTGTGTGCTTGCGGAAATGCCGCGTCAGTTCATCAGAACGAGCAAACTTCCACGTGCACCCCTCCCAAGTGCATTTGTATGGTTTTTCTCCTGGAAAAGGAAACATAGAAGTGAGGATTTAAGATGTGAACACACCGGTTCTGATCACATTAAGTTCACACATAAATCTGATAGATTCATTCTACTGCCTTGCCAAATTTCAGTAAGTACTTCAATGCTTACTCAAAAAGCTCCAAACAGTTTAAAGCTGAAGAGTACTCTGTGCTAGAAACTATGTAGTCAAAGTTAACTGACCAAAAAATTGCTACCTGCCACAACTTATTCTTTTATTGTCTCTCTGTTCCTCTCTCTGCCGTATTAGCACTTGTTTTATATTATGACACCCAGAAGGAAGAAGGTTTAAGCATTTCTTCAAATATTTTCAAAATCAAGATCTCATTTTCTAGCTTGCTGGGGGAAAGGACTGTGCTACCATGAAGCACAACAGGCAGAAATCTTGTGATTTCTAAAATTTAATGCAGTGTAAATGACTGGCATCACGGTTGCAAGTACCTCAACTTAAACTCTTTCTCTATCATGACTAATGTCATCCTCCTCCTTTAACACCTCTGTATTGCCCAACAGGTAAATGGCTGGCTTGATGCACAACAGAGATGAACTGGGCTCCATTTTTCCTACAAGAGGTACCCTTGTAAAAATCTTGGGCGTATATACAATCATTCAGCATGCAAAGATGAACATTTCTGTGGAGAGCAAAGATGGGGATATGTTTACTGAATACTCATTCAGATAAAAAGCACCACTGCACCAGTGGTTAGCACCTCCACAAAGCAGATGTGTTTGCATTTGGCACACAGTCCAAACTTCTGCAAATGGGCTACTCCCATAGAAATTACAGTCAAATTTAACAGTGATGTCATAGGTGAGCCAGTGCAATTTGAACTGATTTGGTGTTTGCAGGGTGTGCAGACTGAATAAACTGCAAGCAACTGGACACAAAATGAGTGAAGAGCCAGTGAATGTAACACACATCAGCGTGCACTCTGAACCTGTTCTGGCTTACAGTCTCTTGTAGGTTTTTCCTACTACATCCTCTGTCTTTTTCTCAGCCTATAATTATTTTCACAACAATGCCAGATCTACCTTCTGTCATTTTGTTATTTACACCTGTGGTCACCTGGCCATTAGCAGAAGTTACAAGCTCAGCCTACTATTTTACCATAGACTTGATGAAAGAAAAGCACAGCTATGCTCTGACCTGTATGGGTTCTTCGGTGAGCTTTCAGGTGGGAGCTTTTAGTGTAGACTTTGTTGCAGCCTTCATAATCACATCGATGTATTCTGCGTTTTCGTTGTGTGTCTGGGGATTCCACAGGTAAAGGTCTCTTTCCTGGCTGAACTATAACTGAAGGGTGATTCCTGCAAAGTTAAATTAATGTTAAAACCAAAAACATTTAGCACAGCAAACCTCAGCTAATATGATTCATAAAAGAGCCTTTTATTCACTACCACTCTGTCTCTTGGCAGAAAGAACAACATTACATGCATGTCGAAAAATTCAACAGGGTTTAGCAAATTTTGTGTATTTTAGCAGTAATATTTTTAAATGTTTACTCACTTTGTGGCATGATGTAGCCATTTTTACTACTTCCTAGCTCCTTTTTAAAACTTTCAGAGGAAAAACCCCATTCAACTTTGTGTTTTTCAGTCAAACCCAATTTCTTAATCCTGAGTGAACTTTTCTTGCATTTGTTCACTACTTTTTCCCCTTCAAATACAACTAATTTGATTGTAATTGGAAACAGCTATTCCATATTATTAAAGAAATTGTATCTTTAGGGTCTCAAAGCAGAACTCAATCTTTATTGTTCCAGCCACTCCTTTAGAATGTAATTAAGAATTTCCTGTTTGGTGCTGGCAGCAGGGTGCGGCCTCCCTGTACCACTGACGTCAATTCCTAAAAGTAGAGCTTAGCCTGTGTGGCACACCCACAGGATGTCTGAAGTTGTCCCTCCACCTTCTCAAACATAATTTTTCACTTTAGAAGCCCACAGGTACAGTGCAGGTAAGACATATATGAACTAAATGTGGACTTCTGCTGTAAACAAACCCATAAATGTTCACGTGTGCGAAAACATACAGGCTTCTTAAAAGCAGTCTTTGACTGTTGAATGACATCCCTACTGTAGAACTGGGGACAACCTAGATTCTTTCTTCCACATCAATCTTTAAAAACTCATGTTTGTCAAAAAGGTACGTGTAGATTATAATGTGCAGATATAAGCATTCCTTGTTGCAAACTCAGCTCCCCCATGCAACAGAAAGGAACTTTCTAGAAACTCCTGTCTTTTCTAAGTTAATGTATTTCACGTGTTTTTACCAATCAACTCATGTTTTGTAATACGGGGTTCTATTGGTTACTTACTCCAAGTTCCTTGAGGGCCTAATTTTCAGAAACATTGAATTCCTACTTCCCTCAGCAAAATAAAGGGCATGTGCTGAACACAGAGAATCTTGTGTATGGCTTAAGAAGAAAAGATTTCTCTATGACCCCACAGTAGCAGGATGCGGATAACGATGTGTGAAAACTTGAATTCTGTTACTGATTCTTTTCTTAAGAGCTAGAAGCTGGAAACTGGGAACCAAATTCTCTTTCTTGGGTGGTTCTGTGACTGTTGGGTGATGTACTCTTCAAGTACACATTAAGTCTAGCTAAAAATATTATAATGGCAGGGAACCCCAGATGGTGATGTTAGACAGAGACACACACACTCTTAAATAAGAAGGCAGGCTTCTAGCTTCCAAAGAAACAGCTCTCCAAAGCAATGCTCAGTTTCAATGCAGTTGCATACCAGTCCTTTTGGAGAAGCTCAGGCTTAGGACAGCAAACAGACTTGGTCTAAATTATTATGTGTGGAGGCTAGTCCTGGACATGGTAACATCTGGGAGAAGGGAGAAAAAGGATATTGGCCATACACCATTTGTGTTTTAGGTTTTCAATCTGCAAGTGTCTGGAAAAAGCACTGAGAATGTCTCCTTTTCCCCTAATGGGAGAGGAGGCTGGCAAGACAACAGAATGTTATCAATAATCACACAGGGTGTGGTAGTTTTAAAAAATGGTCAGGGTGGTGTCAAATTCAGAGGTAAATATTAAGTAAGTGCCAATAATAAAAGCACAGCCCTAATTCTTTCGTTCCCTCTTCCACAACTAGATGTAAGTTCATGTATGTACCATTTGGCACTATTCAATAGGTAAGAGTACCTTCTAAAAATTACGTTAAAACTTCAACAGCTTTTTCTTCTTTACCACAGACCACACTATGCTGACAGCGTGAGTTAGACTTCGAAACTTGCATTAAGATATGTATATGAGGCTTTTTATACTATTACCTCAAATTTGATTTCAGAAATAACTGCAGTTACATTGACAATCAGACATACTAGAAAGTCCCACCATCCCCCCAGAAATGTCACCAACATTATTTTTATAGATAGATAGACAGATATAGATATGAAGATATAGATAGATATACTGCCAAAAGCTAACACTAAACCAAAATAAGTCACTTAAAAAGTCTTAAATAAGTCACTTCAGTGAGACTAAAGGTTTCCTATGCCCCTTTAATGTCGCTTAGGTGTCTGGGCAGTTGGAACCAATGAATAGTGATAAAAACTTCACTGCCTAACTATAGCTCATAAAGCTGTGAGACAACAACATATTTAAAACTAAAGGTTTAAGTATCTCATCTTGTAACTCATGTGAGTTGTCTATGTATTTTTTTTAATGATAAGAAATACAATTTATAAACTTGTTTTGGATACAGCAGAATGTGAACTTGAAAGGGCTGGCTCCAGGAGCAAGAACTAGAGCTCCACAGGACAGCTACAATGCAATTTAAGCTGTTACAGTGCAAGGACAGAATCTCCATGAACATCACACTCTACATGGGCAAGCAGAGCTGATGCTCTGGAAACATGGACATAAAATGTTTTCTGTAACAAGCTATCTACATATGATACTAAATTTTATATTCTTTGCTCAGTGGATGGATTTGCTGGGGAAACTACACCCATTGGGAAATAAATAATGCAAATCACTAATGCAGGTGACAAGCCTGCAGAAGTCTCAGCCCTGGAGGAAGGGTGTGGTACCAGCCAGGAACAGCACTTACTGGTTTGCTCTTGTTAAAGAGACTTAACAAAGACAAAAAATAAACTGAACCATTTGATAGTCCTGACCTAGCAGCAGTTAGTTCCAGCTACATAAGGACCTGACTCCCTTGTGTGTCCATTATGGAAGGTAAGTTACTAACTAGTATACATGCATGTTTACTATTTTATGTAATAAACATGTATAAGGTGATTTAAAAGAAACAGCATATCATTTATAACAGCTTGCTGGCAGCCAATTGCCAAGAGCCTGCAGTCCAGGAGGTGCATCCAGACTGTTTGGAGACAAGGAGGGGTGCCCACAAGAAGGCTGCTGGGGAATGCAGCCACCCCTGGTGCTGTGAGGTGCTTTTGAACCCCAGGGCCCTCTGCAGGAGGACGAGGCAGCGTTCTGGAGGAACTACACGAGAGCACCCATCCATCCCATGCTTTTCTTTCTCTCTCTGAACCAACTCACACTGGGTTTTGAGTATGTGACTTGAAGCCCCCTTTCCCTTACTCTGTGAGGTGAGGTCAAACACAACCACCTCAAGGATGACAGTGAGCAAGAGGGAAGTGCAGAAATGGAGTGTGAGGTTCTGTGCTGTGAGCCCTGCTCAGCTCCCACCTTCAGCTCCTGCCAGAGCCATGCTGGCAGCCTGCCTGCCTACCCAGGGCACTGCCTGCTGAAGGATGAGTCTGGCTCTAGGTCATTCCATGGTTTTAGTAAGCTGACAGGATTTTCCCCAGAAAAACAGGAAATGGAAGGGTGCCCATGGCTCCTCATGACAGGAGAACTGAGAATTTTTTAATGTTTTCAATTAAAAGGTTTATGCCCCAGACCTAATTTATTCTTCTGGTCCTTGTCCTTTCTTCTGCAAACAGCACTGTTTTAAAACCCATTAGATCGGTGACCCAGTTCATGCAGGGGCCCCAGTAACAGCTATGCCAGCACAATGAGTTAATACTGGGATGGAAAAAGTGGCTGTGAGGGAAGAAAGCTTCAGAAACTACTTGAGGTGCCAAAAAATCACCTACAGAACAATGGCCTCAGGTAAAAATGCAATTTCACTTATATACACAGGACTTGTAAGGCTGAAGAGGCTCTTCCCACCAAGCAGGCAAAATTTTTGATAAGACAAAGAGGTCCTCCAAGAAGAGAAAGTCACAACACTCATTTTAAAGAATGGTATTTCAAGTAACATAAAAAGAGATACCAGTATGAACTGTCTTTTAAGTTTTTTCAATTTTGCTGGCTTATTGGGAGTGCTACTTTCAGTAAATTGTGGAATTGTAACCTGTCATCACTTTAGAAATGCATGACAGAAATATATATATATTATACCTTGCATATCTATTGCAAGGTATAAATATGTATCAACTCCTGTACTGCTGAAGAAGGGGGAAAAGAAAGTTGAAATCCTGTTTCACAGTGGCAGTGGAGGAAGGGATGAATGTGTGTTTTATTACACATCCTAAAGCACAGCAACAATCCTTCCCACTCCTCAGAACTGCTAACTGCTTTCCATTGTAGTGAGCTGCTTTCCATTGCTCTGCTGATCTTGGGACCACTGTTAGCTACTTACTCTTGCAACATTACTTGCTGAGGAGACAATGAGGTCATCATTGGAGGTGACATCTGTTCAGGATAGAAGTCAGTCTTTGATGGTTCACTTCCTGGCTCTACTTTGATTGTTTTCTTCAGTGTGGGCTTCTCATAAGACTCAATGACAGGCACTGTATGGCAGAAGGGAGGAGAGGGAAGGCAACACATAAAAATTATGAAGAGTTATGGAAATAAATAATATACAAAAAACCCCTAGAGTTAAAACAAATCCATCAGTTCTACATTTACTGTGACAATTAAATACAAAATCTTTCAGTTTTAGTTATCTCCTGGTAACTAGGACTCAAAACGTTTCTATTAATTTTCATCAGTCAGATGTTATTATCAGTCCAAATCTCAGTAGATCAATAGTTTATGTAGATACAAGCAAGAGTAATGGAGCTGGTGAAGAGTCTGGAGAACAAGGCCTGTGAGGAGCAGCTGAGGGAGCTGGGATTGTTTATCCTGGAGAAAATGAGGCTCAGAGGAGACCTCATCACTCTCTGCAACTGCCTGAAAGGACAAGAGGAAATGGCTTCAAGGTGCACCAGCGAAGGTTTAGTTTGGACATGAGGAAGAATTTCTTCCCAGAAAGGGTGATTAAACATTGGAATGGGCAGCCCAGGGAGGTGGTGGAGTCACTGTCCCTGGAGGTGCTTAAGGAAAGACTGGCTGTGTCACTTAGCGCCATGGTCTGGTTGGAAAGGTGGTGTTGGGTCACAACTTGGACTCTACGATCTCAGAGGTCTTTTCAACCTAATTGATTCTGTGATCCTATGACCTTGGTAAGTCTGGTAAAATATTTACACAACAAATTCTATGCCTGTTTATTCTGGAAGAACAGAAATTACTTTCCACTTCCTAAAATATCAACAACCCACAGAAACCAAGTGCTTGGATATTTGTCTTATTTTGTGGAGATGAGGTAGCATAAAAAGCAATTCTGACAACACTGACCTTGCATGCTACTTGGAGTTTCCATATCATCTGGGAGAACTGTGGACACCATGATGGGCTGCTGGAGATGGGGAGCATACATGAAAGGAACTGGCTGGACCACAACAGGCTGTATGACGGGGAGTATCCCAGGGCTCCTGAGTCCATGGCGTGAAAGAGCAGCGGCCATTACAGGAGGGATTGTTATTGGCATGGAAAGAGGCTGCACTCCTGGGGGTGACGGTGTGAATTTACTGAGAGGTGAGCTGGGGGAGGACAGAGTCAATCCAGGTGAACTTCTCCTGTGCACAGTCTGAAATTTTAGTGGGGAAGGAGAACTTCCAGTTGAAGGCGGCGAGCTCCGTTTATTTACTGTAAGGTCCACTGGCTCCATCTGGATCCCATTTGATAGTCCTTCAGGGCTGGAGTAGAATTTATTGTGCAACATACTTGGTGTAGAATAAATGACGCCGTATTTGTTTGGCTTCATTTGGTCCATGTAATTGGATGGGTATGACTGTCAGAAGGAGTGGAAAAGAAATACAGAAAATCAAATAATAAATCAACACATACAAGCAGCTACTGCTGAAAAAGAAAGGCAGCCAATAAAACAGGCAAAATGAAAAAGTTTCAAGAAAGCAATTTGATGTAGTTTCTAAATAAAATGGTATTAAATAAAGCCTCAGATTCCCCTCACAGGAAGTTCAGTTCTGATTCACTAACTGTTTCAGAAGCAAGTAAGACAGATTATGAAAACAAATCTTCAAGGCTTATTCAACTACTTTTCTCCCTTTAAAATTGCCTGTCATATATTCATGCCTCCACATTTCTTAACTGACCTGGGAGATCATGTGCTATGCCAAGCATATAACTGTGTGCTGAGGATCATCAATTCTAGAAACAGGAGAGCTCAGCTGGGCTTAGAATTGCAAGTAATGGGTCCCAATCAACTGCTAAAGTAATTGAAAAACAATCAACACTAAAGAAGGAAATTATGAATTTGAACCCTACAATCAATACAAAATGCTCAGCTGAACTATATAAGTAATGGGTGAGTAACTCAAAAGTGCAAAAGGTAAAATCTAAACCTTTCTAAATGATTTTTTGAGATATAAAGCAGTTAACAAGCCAGTGTAATTTTGGAAAATGAGTACAAGGATAAACATTTGGTGTGCAGGAAGAATATTCCTGTTAGTGGTAGCTAGCAGTTCCCATTACAATATAAACCCCAAAGCGAATCTTGACTATGTGACGATCTCCACAATTTAGTAATAATTTATATATTTAAATATAGATATGTATGTATGTACATATGTATTACAAAAGTAAAACACACGTATCTAGTGATTGTTGTAAACCTGGAAGTATTAACATTAGAGTGCAGTATTATTAAACAAATATCCAGACCAATACTGTATTTAAAAACTGATGTTGTTTACTAACAGCTAACTCACAATGGAAACTCATGTGATGCCCTAACACAGCAGTGAGACAAAGAAAATGCAATGGACATAATTTTTTAGCTGTGCTGTCAACTTTTTGAAATAAAATGTTATCTTTGGATTTCAGGTGGGTAAACTAATATTAAGAAACTAATTACTTCTTTGGCACCAAAAGTATTTTGATGAGTGGGATTAAAAAAATGTTCAAAATGGTATAAAGTGAAACATCAGAAGCATAAAACCATTGTATTTTTATAAAATTATTTCCATAACGTTTCAATTCTTTTTCTTCCTGGGGTGAACACTTCTGTCAATACATCTTCCTGGTTTCCTACCTCTGTCTTCCCTGTGAGGAAACACTTGGTTCATTTTAAATGTCAATGGTAATGGGAGGTACTTTTGCAAAATGACACAAATATAATTTTCTTCTTTTCAGTTACTGTTTGAAACACTGAGTTTAAAAAATATTAAATTTTCCTCCTGCATTCGTAGCACTGTGATAGAACAACAAAGCTGAGTCCCTCAGTCCATAAAACATTCAAATAAAGCAGCACACAAAATGGTGATTAATCTTCGACAGTAAATATTACATTAAAACCTCTGCAAGTTATATATTTTCTTTATGACTATTCTTACAAATTCCATCTATAGAAACATTCATCTTTGATGGTAATTGGTTCATCAGAATTTTATTAAATGCCATTATTGCAAGAAGTACTGTCTGTAGACTTGTCAGAACTGCTGAGCCAAGCTATGAAATTATCAGCATTCTAAGTGATGGAGACCACTAAATATTGATATAATTTAATATTTAACAGCATTTGGTATCTATTAAATCGGATCAAATTAAGGGCATACCCAAAAAAATTTAACAGGTAAGGAACATTAAATACTTCTGTTAAAACTCCTGTTATTGGTTTACAGTAGAGAGTTCACCCAGCTTTAATGAACTGTAAACATTCCACCACTAAGCATCAGTGCATTTACAGTGCTGCGGGTTTGTCAGGGATGATCACAATGTCACTGCCTACGAACTTCTCTTCCATTGCAAGAATGCTAAAAAGGAAAAAGCTTGTCAAATGTGAATCTCCAGGAATGCTTTTGGCCAATGAGTCTATTAAAGAACAAGCATCCCTAGCTGTATCCTTATCCTGAAAACACCTGGTGGGAATTCAAGGAATAACTGTCTGGATGCTCACAGAGCTTCTGTATTCTTCGATGGGGGAGTGATGACGATTGTGATTGATTCTGGTGCACAGCCTGCAAAAGGTAGAAATGATGCTGGAGACTGGAGAAAAACTGTTTATTCCAATTCAAACAAAAAAAGAACTTGTTTCACCAAATGGTAACTGGTCCAAATGTTTAAAAAGACCTTTAAAAAGTCCTCACAGCAAATAAGTAGTCCTGTAGGTAGGAATTGGATGACTTTGTCAGTAGCTCATTAGGAACTGTCATAATATATGTTCAATAATTCATTTCAATAAATGGCATGAGCTGTTGGTTGAGTGATGAAATAGTGTGGGTGCAAGCTTCAGTCACCTGAGAATATAGTTAATCCTTTCAGCCACACACCCTGAAATACAGTGGTGTCAAAAACATTACTAATTTCCTCCTACCCCTCCAACTACTGTGATGTTTTAGAGACACAAAGACTTCACACCTACAGTGTAAAGAGTACACCTACATTCAGAGAGAAGAGTGAGATATTCCCAAGAGGCTTAGTTTAATTTGGCCTCTAATGATTCTATCAGAATGAAAGATGCAACACAAATAATCCTGATTGCAGATTTCCTAGTTATGTTAGCCCAGTCTGCTCTGCTTAGCACCTCTCAATGTCAATATGACAGTTTCTCTCTCATTCCACCTCCTCAAAAGGTGTTCAAGAAAACCAACTCACTCAGTGGCTGCTATCCTTTCTCATTTTCTCTCCATATCACAATACCTCCCTTTAGAGGTGTCTCCAAAACAGTTTCTGTTGTGGCACCAGGGCTCCAAGGAAGTCACAAGACCAAGAAGGGCTGGGGAGCTCAAGGGTTTTGGGCTAAGCAGCCTCTGTGTGTACAGAAGCTGAAACACACATGGTCCTCAGCCTGAGGGAAAACAAAGTAGTGTCCAGTGATGGAAACTTCACTCAGAAACCATACTTTCCTCTGGACTTTCTGCTTTTTCTTTTCTGATTTTTTTCCCTCGTGCAATGGCAAAAAGAAAAACATACAGATGTGGTGAAATACTCTGAGTAGTCTTTGACAGCTGGTCAGAGTGATTACACTGACTTATGAGAAGACTCCAAAGGTCCAACGCCACATGCCATGGAAAGCACCACATCACTGGGAGAAGGATATGGCACAGAATAACCAATATCTGGAACTCCAGCCTTGAAATGCACTTGGCTCAGAAACACTCCCTTGTTTTTCCCACAAGAGCTTTTCCTTCACCTGTTGGTCTGGGAAAGACTGCTTGCTCCTCTGCTGGTGAGCTTTTTGAGGGACTGACCTTGCCCATCTGGCAGAAGCACACAACTGTTTGGGGCACTTGTGTGTCTTGTGCAGAGCCACAAACCATTGCAGAACCTTCTTTGGGAGATGCAAGCAGATGTGCACAAAAGGTGACCCAAAAGACAGCAATGACACTTCTGTAAAACTGGCCTCTCTTCTGATTTCAACAGACACCATTAATAATCTTAGATTATAGCAGATAATCACCACTAATCTTAATACAGTTACACTGTAACTGTAATTAAAGTGACAGGCTGGCCGATACTAAAATTCTTTCTTGACCCAAATATTGGAATTTGTCGTACTTTCAGTGACAGTTATTTTTCTATCATGACTCTTCAGCAAATACACCCCACAAAAGTCAAACTGTAATTTTAAAATGCATATAAACTTAACTCCCAGAAGTGCCGTTAGTAGCCCTGAAGAAATCAGACTGCTTAGAGATGCATTTAAATTTATGAAAATTACTCTTTATTTTAAATAAAACAGGAAACAATATTTTCACTGAAAGATGCCATTCAGAGCACAAGCTTAATGCACTCTGAGTTATGTACAATGACTTCACCCTTTTAATGGATTGGCCTTTCTAGGAGTGTGGCTTCATGTTACACTTAATCTGTTATTGCAGGCTAAAAGCTGAGAGGGGAGGTTCTCTCATGCTCCTCTCTCCCCTTGCTCTAACATTGAGCAGCTGCACAGAATGAGTCAGATCAGCTTCCTGATCTGACCAAAAAATGAGTATTTTTGGTGGGTTAGCAATTCTGACTATTCAGTGAGCTGATCCAAAGGTTCCAAATCATTCTAGGACCACACAATTCTTCAGTCACGCAAAGGAGACACAAAGCTGGTGAGGAGGGAGCAAGGTCAAAGCCTTTCCTTTCAGCCTATATCATCACAATTCTCACTGCACTGCTCCCACCTACATGTCCCACTGCTGTTGCTTATTAGACTCTTCTCTGAGATGACCCTATTCTCTGAGTTCATGGAAAATTAACCCATTTTTAAAGAAGTAAAAAGCGTGAGAGGAATGTCTCCTCTTCCCCTTTCCCCCCCCCCATCCTAGTTCTCATTTGTTCACTTGGTAAAGCAGTGCAACCAGTTTACCCAGCAAAAAGCCATTGTTGGTTTGGGTTTTTGCAGGATTAATTTCCTGCTGTTTAGAGCAGACCTAGCCACAGGCACCTGTTACCACAACCAAGAGAAAAACAAAAAAAGGCACAGCAAGAAGCTGTTCACTTAGTTCAAGGGTGTAACACTGAAACCACAGGCCATTGCCACTTCACCATGAAGCGTGGCAACTTAATTTGAGTCCACCTCCATGAGCAGCATGAGCCACAGAGATGATATTTACAGAGCACTGGCTCAGGAACACAGGGATGCTCCCTCCTCTCATAGGCAACTGCTCAGGTTAAGGCAATAAATTAATAAACTACAGAAAGTTCTCCTAAAATGTAAACCTGATTGCACTAAGAGCAAAACAGAGCTTCACATGCTTTCCTAACCTAGTCCAAATCTTAATTACATCTCATTATGAATTTAAAGGTGGAAAAACTAGAGTCATCTTTACAGCTAATATATTTGAAAAGTCTTACCACTGAAACAGGCTCCATGGCTTCTTGCTTGATAGGGACTGGGTCAAACATTAGCATCTTTTTTATTCACCTGTTCTGATGCCTCTGAGGTTCTGTCCTGCTGGGGAAAGACAAGGTGTTAGAAAGCCATGGGAAATACCCGAATCAACTTTCTGAATTGTAGAGAATTTACTAGTTTGTCAGATTTATGTGAATATTTATCCATCACTAACAGAGATTTTTAAATCTTTGACTGAATTTATTGCAAGATTTTTCTTTCCAAATTGCTATTGAAACAAAGGGACATCTGTTCACTTTAAATGAAAGGCAAATTGAATTTTTGTTGTGCATGTCAGCACACCAAGACCAGAGAATTTTCACTTTCATTAGCTGTCAAGTGTTTTAACACATCAGAGTTTAGACCACACATTTCTCATCAGCATTACAACCTCAGAATAATCTTGTTTATACAAGTGAACTGATTCTGGAAAGGATCTTTCTTTCCTAAGAGTCCTAACAGAAACACTCAATAGATCACATACAGTAACACTGATATCAATGCCAAAAAAAGGATTAAAATTCAAGACTAACTTGGACTACATTCAACATGCTACAATGACTTAGATAAAATCCACCAGTTACTAGATATTAGTTATTATCAAGATAATAGATATTAGTTATTATTAAGATAATAGATTTACTGACAATTCAATAACTCTGTGCTAACAGAGCAAAATAAAAGCACTTTAAAAAACCTGCTTGCATTCTGTAAAATTTCAGGGTTTTTTTCCTATAGTGTTCAACCTGACTTGGCCAATCCCTAAATGCCTGAAATAAAAGTATTTAGCATAAAGCATGTCATAGCTCTCACACTACACATTTGCCATGGTCATCTTGGAAAGATACTGGGAGGGAAAGGAGATACCCATTCTGGGTAAAGCCATGAGGGTACACAATGAAACTAAGGGGGAGCAAAGGGAATTTGCTCACAATGACATTGAGATGTTGCCAGGCTGTTTATAAATCACTCGAGGTTATACATTATATGACTGATGTCCAAGGAGCAAGCTCTGACCGTAGCCCGCAGACTCCCCAGCCCTGCCTGGGGGCGGCACGACCCGGTTCAAGAGCGAGGCAAGAAGCAAATGACACAAATTCAATGTGGCCGGTAGATGGCACTGGAAAGGAGCGAATACAGCCACACTCCAGCACCGGCAATTCACCCCTTCAGCAGGTCAGGCTGAGGGCTCACCAACACATCCGTACCTGTGGCTGGGAAATTCTCCCAGAAATGTAAATGAACATTTAAAGATGTACCTGCTCAAATTAAAACAATTCTAATAAGCCTATGCTAATGAACAATTCTGCAGTTAACATGTGCTTATAGATCAAAATTTGCTAAGAGAGTCAGCATGAGTTGTTACAAGTCTACCATTAGTTATTCAGGTACATCAAGTTTAAAGACTTTTGGAAATACATTACAAGAGTGTGCGCTTTGAATAATGGAAACAAACAAGTCTCAGAGTAAATTATAGTATCTTCATAATTCACCTTATAAAAGTTGAAGACCTGACAAAAACAAATTGCAAAACTAAAGTGAAACAAATGATGCAGCTTAATGAAATTTCCAGTTTAGTATGCAGTTTTAGTTTGGGAGCAGTGGTGTAAGATAGCACTATGTGCTGAAAGTTGTGGTAATTCCGTAAATACCTTAAGCATGTTCGTGAGAAGGTTCTTAATTTTACTATTTTCTTTGAATGGTTATCATTTAGATAACTGTTCCCTAGTTATCTTTCTCAGGTTTCAACAAGTCACATACCTAGAACTAATGTTTCAGAATACTGACTTCCCAGAAATATATCCACATATCTCTGTGTGAGAATACGGGTGATGCATTCATCTGCACTGTGGAAACAGAAGTTGTACTTTTAGACGTGAAAAAAGTTTACAGTAAAATGGAGCCACTCAGAGCTCCTATATAGGAATTTGGAACTAATTCCTTTCAGGTTTCCATAAACTTTTGATTTTTAGCTTCTAAGTGCATAGATAAAGTAACACACCAATTTGTACTTTAGTGAAGGAAGAAAGGAGAGAAGGGAAGGGAA